TAGATCTCGAAACGGTGGCAAATTTACAATCGCACAAAGACTAAAACTCGGATTCAAATCTACGACACAGATCACTGCATTCGCGAACCCAATAGAGATGAGCAAACAACGCATCAGCATCAGAGTAGTATCGCGCGTCTCAAACCATGAAATACCGTAATAAAACACGCGCACTGCGATGAATGCTTTCTCGCAAAACCAGGAAAATACTTTCATCTCCCCCACATCTAAAGCGTTTTTTCCTTACGGTACAATACAATACCATGTTGTACCCTGTCAAAGGAAAAGGGAAAGAAGAATCGAATGGAAGAGAAAATATACACTGATGGTACTATAGGCGACGAAACCTCATCCCAACCGCGATACCGTCGCCAAGACATGGATTCCCCGCGAAATGCTGCGGGCGGACCAGGATGTTACGAACGTTGCGCGCCATTCGCCTTCCGGGGAATCCCAGACCAGACGGCCACCATCACTGTGGCAATCCCGTCCGGAAGCAACAGAGGGAAAAAAGCATGAGAATGGACCTAGTGGCCTATACAGGTGGTATATCGCTATTCGACCATCCTACAATTTGACAGTTGAATTTGAATGGAGGTTGACTTGAAATTCGACCTCTGCCGCAGAATTCGACCTGATGTGGCCATTTTTTTGCATGTTTGCGCTAACATTTCTCAAGTTTACAAAGTGTCTTGCAATTCAACCCTAGTCTGGCAACACATCAGGGTCAAGTTGCAAGGTACCACCTGTATCAGTGTTCCCCAACCTTCTTGCTCCCTAATATTTCATAAAATTATTTGCCAACCATATATTTTCTGCAAATTAACAGAATTTTTTAATGCATGTCATGAAGCAGGGTTACTCAACCCTGATCCACTGACCAACTCATAAAAGCCAATTGATGCAAGGACCAGCATCATCAGACAGACCTGACCCTGTCACTGCAACAGTCTATTCAAGATTTTGGCAGATATTCAAATTCACAAATCTGTGTTGTGTTGGACTTTGACGCAAGAGTTTGATTCCTTACATTGTTGTGAAAAGTTGTACAAAGTGTTACATTTTTCCTAAAAGTGTGAGAACACATTTGTGCTTATCTTTGGCAGGTAGCGCACCTGCCAATTTGTCTACTCTTTATTTCCAATTGATAAAATGCATCTCCTCAGGCATACACACTAAAACCTCTCTGAGAAACCACTTTTTTAAAGATACACATTATCTGCTGTATAAATTAGAGTAAGTACTTTTCTCTTCTGGAAACCTTTTCCAGATAAAACGTGTACAAATGAAGCAGCTGCAATGGAAGGTTTTCAAAACATGAGAAAGCTGGGAAGGTTTCTTGAAATGAACACTTAAACTTATTTTTGATCAGCAGGTAAAAGTTTATCTGACATTTTAAAAGGAGGAAAGCTAGGTTTTGTATTTCATCATATAATTTCAACTGTCATTGTCTTTCCAAAGATTCAGGTAAAGATAACAAACTTAATCTATCTCTTTGATAAATTTAATTGGCTGAAGAAAATTTTCTATTGACTAGCACAAATTTGACTTGAGGAGCAAAACTCAAGATGGATACAGAGCAGGCAGGAATCCTTCAAAATGCTTTCTCCTCAGCGCCCTTTCTTTCGCATGCTAGTCCCACTCCATCTCTCCCCAAGTCCCGAGTAAATAAAACAAAATGGGAAGTGAAAGTGACACATCTCCTTTCCGTCTGCCGAACGGCGCCCCGGGGAAAGCCCGACATGGCGTAGAACGCCGCCTNCCCTGTCCCAGTCTGCGTTCGTCAAACGATTTGTGTTGTCAATCACTCGGTACGGCACAGTCAGACCACCGTCTTTCGACCGCTGAATCAAACAGTCATTCTCTCTTCTCATCATCGAAGCACGCTTTTCTTCCGTGGTAACGAATCTGTGACGAAAATAATGATCTTCAGCGAGCTTAGCCAATTTACAAGATACGTTTACATCAGCAATTCAAAATTTTCTCGAATTGTAGGCTCTTTAAATTCACATTTAAACAAGCTGGAGGTGCCCAGCCACACCGGGGCGCCTCAAAAGTTTCCACCAGAGCGCAATTTAAGAGTTTTTCGAAGAAATATCCTCGAAGTTGGATCGATACTTTATTCAATTTGAAACCGGTGTTCACAGAGAGAATTCAGGGAAATACAATTAACGATTCGAAATTGAAAAATAATTTTTGCGCAAAAAAGGAGTTAGAATAGGTTCTAGAAAATAAGACAAATATGTCCCCGACTCCAGTATTTTTACGAGTAAAAAAGGGCTCCGCCAGTCAAAAAATGAACACCTGATAGTGCTGGTACAGCTTTCGCGCAATGCCTTGAGATAACTTTTGAACGTCTTTTTCTTCTTCTATTTTTATACAATTTGAAATAAATAAATCCGAATTGTACTTCAAATCTTGAAGAATTTCTCGGGCGTTGAACATGGTGATGAGAGACTTGTTGTCTGCCGCAGGGATAACGATGATCGGAGTTCTTGAAACTCTCTTCGTCGGCTGTCCAGGAGATCTCGGCTGTATGAAATCATACGAGTTTTAAAACTGCGTTCCACTAAAAGCTTCCGCGGGTTACTAACAATGTTCGACGTCGCAACAGGATTCGGCTGCTTCTGCACATTTCCCTCTGCTACTGATTTCAAGGTTTTCCCAGCAAACGATGCCATCGTGTTGATCTTGAATCCAGCAGTCGCTGAAATAAAAATACTTCCCTAATGAGCAAGCTTGCATATCACGATAAGGAATCCACGTGGAACAATTTGTGTATCGAATTCTATCCCTCGCTCTATCGTTCTTCGTAAATGGTGAGCGAGAAAAACGAACCTCAGCTTCTGCATTATTTTAGAACATCGTATGAAATTGTACTCGACGAAAAATATAATATTTACGCAGATACGAGAGGCCGTTCATCTTAGGATTTTACGTAAACTTTTAGGTACAGTATTTGACATTAAAATCATCACGTTCGTCAGTGAGTGGAAAACTGTCATGAGCGTTGCCGTGAACTACGGAACAAAAACAGGATCTGCTTTCAATCGGAATAATTTCAAACTTAACGACATGCGATACAAATCTGACAATGAAGGCAATAAGCAACGAGAAGACGGTCGTATCACTTCAAAAAGCATTGCTAAGTAAAAAAATTTACACGATTTACTCCAAAAATCGCACAACAAACTTCTAATTTTTCAACAGAATTTACTTCTTATTATGCTATCAATTTTTCCTCAACGGAAGAAAGTTCAAAAAGTTACGGTGATTAGATACATATAAAATCAAGTGATTGAGAAAATGTTCGTTCGGAAACCGTTAAATTTAGAAACGCACAAAATATTGAAACATTTTCGCCCTCATATGCGCGTAGTAGTTTTGCATATTCTTTTGCAGAGAAATGTAGCGGACAGAGCGAGTGTTTCCCTCCAAACTAAATCATCTAAACATAATTCATCCAACTTAAATATATGTACCGGATAACACCATCATGGAACTTCGTACAAGAAAAAAATCACTTCTGGAATAGCGAGGGATTTTAGCAAGAACTTTGTTCTCAGACGAGAATCGTACTCACCTTTCTTGTTGAACTTCTCCTGGGCATAACGATCGTATGACTGATCATAGGCAGTATTTGCAGGAGTTGGAGCTGGCCGATATGCTGGTCGCGGAGTCGGCGCAACATGTTCGACTGGATGTACTTTTCCTTCCTCTTTGAGTTTGATTCCGTGCAAGAGGGCAAGAATTGACCTAGCAAAATTTTTTCCCGACGCTTGGAGAACCGTAGTCCTCGTTCTCCACTGTCTTTCCCGGGCAAGGATAGCCTTCGATGTATTTACATCCAACTCATACACTGAACGCATGAATTGGTCAGATTCTCCAGCTCCAGAAAATGAGTCAAGATCTTCTGCTCCACCAGTGATTGTCTGCTTTTTCATGGCAATACGCTTGGCACGAAGGGCGGCGATTTTCTCTCGGGACATCGCTTGTGAAAGTGAACCACTACGGGTTCAGAGTTTAAGCTTACGGATACCAATTACCATCAAGCAAATTTCCAAAAACGTACGTTATGTTATCCAACGTTACAGACTGCTCCTTTGGTCCATCCAAACGAGCAGCCATTTTTTGTCGCATCCTTTCCATATCCCCGTCTTCCAAACGGGGTTTCTTCATCGGATGGATTTCATTTTCGTGCTCCGCCACACGCTTCAGCTAACGAAAATCCGCATTTAGATTTTCGATGTTAAGAGTCAGAACGAAGTTCTCAGATACCTGAGTCGGCCGTTCCAAAGGCAAGCTTTTATCAATGCTCGCGGAAGTTGCAGTTTCTGATCCTAAGTAGGTCAGTAAATCTCTTCTATCGGGACGATGGACCACGGGAAGATTGTGTCCCTTAAAGTAAGAGATAATGCAAAGTCGGTAACTTCCGCCATGATTCGTTCCATAAAATATACTCACACTGGCAGTTCGAACGTAAACTGAATGCGACAAATGCTTGTTTTGAAGAAAATAGAGAAGGCATTCCAAGGTATAGTATTCCTTTGGACTGCCATCCTTTCCGGAACTAAAGTTAAAACCCGAAGAATAAGAACAGCATGCATAGAAAACAAGTCACAACAGAAATCTCACCCGTAAACCACGTAGTTCGTTCGAGTCGCTTTCGGCCAAGAAAGCTCCCCGAAAATAATGCGATCATTCTCCTGAACGATATCTCGGTTTTGGATAAAATACTGACGCAGGAGACTCAATGGATCTGCCATTTTGAACACCGGTCACTTTCGCAATTGGTTTCAAAACCTTACCTAAAAACTTGGGGTAGTCACAATTCACTGAACACAGGTCGTTCAATAGCACAGATATCATAACAACATAACCATTCCGACAAGTAGAGCTTATCAAATTCAACTAGAAAAACATTTCTGAATAGCAGCAGAAAATCTCCTACTCGAAAAATCATAAGTGCACGTCATTAAAACTTGAAATGGTCATGGATAGCTTCGACAAATACTCAAATAGTCGCAGTAGTTATTTGAAGAACTGAATTTCAATAAATCATGACTGCCACTCTCAACCGTAAATCGGGCGCTGCTCGAACTGCAGGTGACGAACGCAAATCGCTAACAAATCGCGCTCACCACAACCAACAACACACCACGATAGCTCCCACGAGATTCGTGAGTTTAATCCGCGCATCCACATTGCTATTTGGACATCCCGTATCCGCGTCACAGAACTATTCTCTATTGGTGACCCATTCCGCCGGGCGATACTCTGTCGCCTGGTGAAAACTAAGAGAATTCAGGAAAAAATGCCAACAAAGTCCGCAAACCGATTCTTTCGTCAACTTTATTGCATTCCTTTGTGAATTTGAAAACGATGGTATGTTCCACAAAGTTAACATGCTCATCTCAGCAGTTTTCTGCGATACGCTTCTTTTTTGTTTCATCTGTCTCATAGATGTCGCACATCAAACATCGCCACTTCCGCTCACACTCAAAGAGGAAGTCTCATCATCATCTTCTGCTGCTGTACCAGTACCAATCGCTTCTATTGCAGCAGCACTGATCTCCGATAATAGCTCCAGCAAATCAACAGCATGATGACTATCGATGCCGTCTTCGCCATCTCCAGTGTCGTCCTCATCATCTTCCGAGTCGAAATTATTTGCACCATCTGCTGATTCGTCATTCTCCAACTCATCCAGAGCGTCTTCAAATCCAAAATCATCCCCTAACAAAGACTAAAACAAAATTCAGACTTTAAATATAGTATATATGAGACTAATTAAATGCACGATTTCCAATTTAAGTTTTCTGCAGCAAAATAATCTAGAATTATGCAGGGCATTAAGATTTTTCTTTCTACGTATACTGCGTAGTTTTAAATTTAAATCATATGCAGGCGCGTGTCATAATTTCCTTATTCCATTAATTACGAGTCATTTATTTTTTACAGCGATAAAAAGTTGCATTGCTCCATAACTTTTGATGAATATCAGATAAGGAACACTCGACGCGGGCGAACAGTATTTGCACCATTGATTCAAAATGAATTCATAAGCATTATGTGCAATCCACACCTTTTTTTACTTCGCTTCGTATTTTCGACTGATCATTTAAAAAAAGTAGAAAACTTCATTCTATATTTATTCCTTGAATATCTGCATTGGTCACATAAAACATCATATGCATAAATAATAACTCATATCGCCGATAATTTATTCCCAAGACGATGCATTTTGAGAAGATAATTACTTTTCTTATACATTTGTGGAACGGTTTGAAGATTTTCCAAGATTTTGTTTGTTATGCCGTGTGTATACTGGTCCAACATTTTTTTTTTAAAAAATTGCTATTGAAAGTAGGTTTTTAAAAATTCGAAATTAATTGAGCAAAATATTCCAGCAGAAATTTTAATTACAAGTCAAATAAATGTTATTCAGCAGAACAGAGCAAAAATTCAGCAACAGGAAAAGCAGCAAATTCAAAGTTACCGTATGAAAAAAAACATATATGTACCAAAAGATATTCCAGCAGTATTGGAATTAATTTGTGATTTTTTCCCAAATAATAGCGTTTTTGACGCCACTTTGATGACAAAGAAACTTTTGATTTAGATACTGTATTTTAGAATATAGCTATTAATAACTTCGACGGCAAAAAAACCGGAGAACACTTTTAGAAATGTGATTAACCTGTTATAATATTCTCTGAAAAGTTGTTCTTACGTCATCATCAAAGCTGAGAAGTTCGGCAAGTCCGCCTTCATTCCCGTGAGCTGATGTTGATGCGATTGAAAATTGAATCAGGAAACAAGCAAAAATCCACACATGTCCCATGTCTGCTGGTCAGACGGAATTTTTTCTTCTGCGAAAACTATACACACTATGTCAATGAGACGAAAAAATGTCTCTTCTTTGACTGATGTACCTCAACTTCGGCAATCTGCACAAGAACTATACGTTACAGCACACTGATTGCCATCGCAAAATTGCCCCAGGTACAAGCATTAGTTCTTGAGGTGATTATATTGTACGCGTTTTAGACACGTTTCTTCCGGGACAGTAAAAGGTGAGCTATTTTCTCATCCCTCTCTGACGTTATGTAGATGTACAGGCTGGATCAGAATAAAAGGAACCATATTTTGAATGGATGAATTTTCTCAACATTTGAACCTAACGCAACAAAATTCGAGGAACCAGAAAAAATTCGTTGTATAGAGATAATTTTTTTCATGCTATACAGCAGAGAAAAGCTTACGCATGGGATAAAAAAAAATCACGGTACAGTAATTTTCACTGTACTGTACTGTGATTCTGACAGTAAAAAATCACTGTACAGGGATTCTGACAGTAAAAAATCACTGTACAGTGATTTATTTGTCCCATGCATCATAAGGTTTTCTCTGCTGCAGCATATTATAGGGGTTCTTCATGAAAACAATGATCACGGAAAAATTACAGTGATTTTCACTGTACTATACTGTGATTCTCACAGTTTAAAAATCACTGTACACAGAATATATTTGTAGACAATAAGATTGTTTCGTATACCTGCATTTAAAATTTTAAAAATTCCCAATGAGAATGGAAACTAAATGATATTTCAGAAAACACACAGATCGTTAAAAAAAAAAGAAAATGGATGTGATTTACATCAGCGCGCAAATTTTGGCTATGATATATTACCGGAAAAAATCGGCAATCATTTTTTTTTCAAGGATTCCGCAGGTACTGTACATAAAAAAGCAAACGTGGTTCTAGCAGATTTTCGTGGCTTCAAAAGGACTCAATTGCGAATCATCATGTCGAAATAATTGTGCCCTTGGTCAAAATATAGTTTTAAGATTCAAGTATTGTACTGTATATAGGTGAATTCAAAATCATATTTTTTTTCAACTTTTGTGCAGAAAAATTGGTTTCCATTCGTAAGGAATAAATTCTTAGACGACTGCATAAATTTTCATGAACTGTATAGGTCAGTAGTTCTGCGGCTTTTCAAGTACAGAACTTTCCAGAAAAATTCGTGTCAAAATTCAGCAAAAAAGTTCATTTGAAAGATCTTCATTTGCACATCTTGACCTTGAACATCTTGTATACAGAAATGTGAGGGAAATTTTCCAAGCATCGCCTCATCAGCAAACTTCTATCGATTGTCGCACCGAACAACGACAAATAACGTAAATCAGTCATTATATATACAGTATCTTATGAGATTTAATTGTACAGTAAAATCTAATAACAAAGCTAAAGAAATCAGTGAAAGAGCTTCGTTACAACAACAAATTTATCAAGGAGTGACTTGAATAACCAGCAGCACATTTTGCAGCTATTGGGTTGGGCCTTGACAAAAATAAATTCATTGCAAGTAAGAATTATTACAGTAAGAATCCACCGTACACCCTTTCACAATTCATCTCACTATTTCCTGGTACGCCCTGTATATTTTTACACTCCTCTGTTTGGGGTATTCCATGTGGTTTGATGGCCCAATTATCTCAGGCATGTTCTGCAGGAATATTATTTGATTCGTTTGCCTGACACAAATCCGATTCCTTCCGGAATGACGGATTTGTTCAGTTGAAC